TCACGTAGGTAAAATAAATGAAAACAATTAAATCACGACGTTTCAGAGGCAACACAAGCTTCTCTGCATCTTGCTGTGACTGTTCCATCTGAAGACGGAAGCTTGTGTTGCCTCTGAAACGTCGTGATTTAATTGTTTTCATTTATTTTATTTTACCTACGTGACTTTACCGAAAAAGCAAAGAGTACGAATCCTTGCAGTCACGAAAGCTTCAAATCTAGACTGTGTGAAATGTGCCGTTTAACGAGTTGGCCACCCTCTACCCGATTCGCCAACGACTCGGCACAAAATACACGATCGATCACGTCGAATTTGATATTAGCATTTAAATCTGCCTAAATTCCACCTATTATTTAAAATCTCGTTTTTACCGTCCTGTGACAAATCTCAATCAGAGACTGTGGGAAATACGACCCCTACTGTATTAAAGGGTGAAAGTCCTGTGAAACATCGAGTTCTGATAAACGGGTGCGCCACGCTGAGATTCCCCTATGGATTCTTGGTCTCTTGGCATATTCTGATATCACGGCTGGCATAAATTGGGCTGGTGGACAGTTTGAGTTTGAAACCCAGACCAGAAAACGCCACTTGTTACTCAAACTTGACATCAGAGGCCCCTTAAACTTATATTGCAGATCAATGTACACATTGAATTTACTTAACAAATGAAATAAAGTTACATCGTTTCATTTGCATAAGTAAAGCGCTCGCTTGGTTAAAAAATTGGAATTTAGTTCGCACTTATCACCGATGTTGTTTAAACGGTGCGCCCACGGTCGTGCCAATGAGATTCCGCATCTGGTGTCTCGAACACTCTCCCCCCCCCCCCCCCCCCCCCCCTTGCAGTGGGGCCCCACACTGCCTTGAACACACGTTGTGCCGGTTAGGGACCGTCCATCAATGACGTCACGCCATTTTGGACGATCTTTGACCCCCCCCCCGCCGCCTCGTCACACGGCGTCACAAAAAGTCAGACCCCCCCCCCTCAAATATGACGTCACAAAACTCTGCCCCCCCCCCCCCAAAATATATATATAAAACATGCTTCAAATCGCTTTAAACTATTGTCATTGCAGTGCGTTTTTAATGTAGCGCTGCACTCTGATGTTGTAGGAGTTTTGTTATAACAATTAGTGTTATTATCACAAATCTATATTTATATTCGTGGTTCTTTCGGTAAAGTCACGTAGAAGGGAAACAATAAAATAACAATATAAAACAATAAAATTCTCACGACGTTTCGACTGCAACACAAGCAATCATCATCCGGTGTGAAAACCACAGCAAGAAAATTTGGAAAAAGTGGCGGTGTTTTTAACGTTAAAAAAACCCGCCATTTTTTTTCAAATTTTGCCAGATGTTTATAGTCAATAAGGACCCATAGCTAAGAGGGTCTTTGTCTATAAACATCTGGCAGTTCACCATCATTGGTTGCAGCACGGCCCTGTATGTTGTTGAAACCGGTTCAGAGTTTGCATGTATTAAACCAATGTTCCCGAAAAAACGGCCACAAAGCCTTCTGGGAGTGCAATGGGATGTGTAAATAAAAAAAAACTATCATTTAGGTGGAGTAGCACAATTTGGGAAGGACGCGTCCGATCAACTTATTTTGTATCATTCCCATGTTCCCGACAACAACGCTAATGTTGTGTCCAACTTAGTTTCAACAAGCTTGACTGCTGATGAGACACTTAATCTCAAAACCAGTCGACAGTGTGCTTGTATTAAACCAATGCTGCAATAACAATAAAAAAACACGTACGAATCGAGGATTCAATTAATGGGGTCGTGAGTTTAAGTATTGATTTTAAATCGATGAATCAATGCAACATTACATGCCCACTGTTCATATATACCTTCCAAAATATGATAATATTCCCAGATGGGGTTGGGGAGGGAATTCGTCTCTCCCATTCCTCCAGCGTCGCCAAACCCAGAACCCGCTTTGTGTGGGAAGCCGACAGTGATTGTCCCCCCCATGCACAGTGGCCATTGGAAGGGAAATGTTGAATCTCCATAACCAGCTCAGGTAGCGAAAGAGGAGCACCACGGTTCGCTCCGTGCGGGGCGGTCGTCTCCGAGGGGCAGCCCAAGCGAGGCCGCTTTGGCAGCGACACAGCTGTGAAAGCAAAGTCGCTCTTCCTGTTCTAGGGCCCTGCCTGGAATACGAGCAGCAGGCTTCCTCTGAGAAGCCAAACGTGCGCAAAGACCAAAATAAAATAAAACACCGCGACCTTGGAACACGGGCGCAAACGAGCCGTGTAGAATTAGATGGGGGGGAAAAAAAACTGGTGAAAATGTTTGACTAAATAAAAGCGCCACCACATTTGACGCTATTTTTGAATTTGCCAGCATGCAGGTGGCTTTTTTTAAAGTGTTTGGCCATTGCGGAACAAAAAAAAACACCGGGTCGTGTTTCGTCTGTAAAGTCCTGGCTCGTATAATATAATGAGAATAGTTTTAAAATGACAGTGCGCCCCATTTACCAGAGTGGCCTTGAGAGGGCTTTTTTCCCTTCGCACATCTTAGCACAGAACAAAGGAGCGGAGCGGTTTTGAGGATGAGACCGTTGAGCATTTGCACATTTGATTCGTATTAGGGCGCCTTTAGAAATGGTGCATTGTGGAGGTTCAATTATTTGTTTACGTGGACGTAGTTCTTGCTTCGGTTCAATTCAATAAGCAAACGGTGTGTAGGCCACCAAGAAAAATGGAGTTGAAGCGAGTTGTCACCCTTTCGCGATTCAATGAATATTCACAATTCAGAGCCAAGGATTCAACTGTAATATCCATTTTTTTAAACCCATAATTCATAAGCAAGTGCACTTCGCCTTCAAACTATACTTGCACCCGTATTATTGTTTCTTAGTGCTTTTACAACGCTGCATAACCGATGCCAGCGAATGGATGCAAAGTTGTCTATAAATCAACGGCTCTCAACACGTAGGTCGTGCCCGCTCTAGGAGCTCGCGATAACCTTTGCATTACAAAGGTGGAGAATCAGTCCTACTTGGTTCTCATTTCCCGTTCTCCCCCCCCCCCCGACCCCTGTTTAACCGAAGTTTTGCCACAACGGCTGCCAGCACACGTAACACAAAAGTAAATATTGTAGGGGGCTTTGTCACGCCGGGTTTGGAGAGGGTGGGTGGTGTGGCGGGTTGGGGGGCAGAGGGCCAGGTGTGAAGTGGAGGAAAGGGCTCCGCGAAGGCATCATCTCTCCACCACTCCCACCTTGCATACATTGATCCCTTGTTTATACGTCCGAACCGCGGTCGGTCACCTGGATTAGTGCAGCACGGCGAACCATGAGCACACAGACGCGCGGGGACACCTCGCTAACACTGGCCAGTCACCCCATACGAGGCACAAGCAGACCCACGCAGAGCAGAGAACCCCCTGTGAAGAAGGCCTTGAAGCCTACGCCCACAGAGGGGTGCCTCTGTGGGTTTTTTTTCAAGTCAGCCAGTGCAGCTGTGTTTTCTCAGAAGGGTCTGCCCTTGTTGTATAATAAGGCTGGCAGTGCAACAGTAACAAAACGGCCTGCGGCTGAAACACGACGAGCCTTTTCATCCGACGGCTCGCAGGTCCAGTGGGAAGACGGCAACGGAGAGACATTCGCTCACTGCTAGCCTCACCAGGCGAGGTCAGAATTCCAAGCCTCCGGTCAGTTACCCAAAGCCCTGGTGAATACCCACTGTTGTGTAGTCTCATCAACTTAGCGCGAACTGATTTACGGTCATTATTTCACGGAAAAACCCTTGTATTTTTAAACAGCATCACCAGCATTATCCCCCCCCCCCCCCTCGGATAAAGACACGCAGACGCACCCGTCCTCATCGGCAGAAACACGGAGCTGTGACATTTAAAGGGCATGTACGCCAAGAAATACCAAGACCATAATTAGAATGAGTTCAAATACCCACGTGACCCCTGCCCAATGCGCACATCTGCCAAAGCGGCTTATCTGCGTTCACCCGCCCGGCGATTTACAGCGAAGTAAAATATCGTTACGTGATATTTAACACGCACCTAAATGATCAGCTGCTGTTACCGTCCACTGCCCCTGCATGTCCTATTCCCTCGCCGAACACCCCCCCCCCGCCTGCAAAAGGAATGATACTGCTGCGTCTACCTGGCAACAACACTGTTTGGAAGCCACTGAAAAAGCGAACACCAATTCAACGTTTGAGAGTTCAAATAATAATGATAACAGCGTCTCGTTTGTATATGTAGCGTTGTCATGCGTGCAAAATGCATCTCGCAATCTCCGAAGAACCGCAGACGATCCGGAAGGCAGCCGAAAGGCAGTCCTCAACATATTAAAAGATGTTTTCAGCCACTTCGTGAGCGTTTGTACGTGGCAGGAAACTGGAGAAGCCCCACACCTTGACCCCACACAGCTCGCACTTTGCTCGGCTGCCTTCTCCTGGCAATACCAGGGTATGGCGACCTCGGCCCTCACGGCAAGAGGAGTTACGCAACATACGTGCGTGACATCCACCAAGCCTAGCTGCTTCTACAGTGCTGCATTACAGGCCAAGTGCTCGTCAGGATGTCACGGGTTCGATCCCGACCCCTGTATATTTGGAGCTTGCGTGTCTCTTCCCACCGTGGTTGCGTGGATTTTTGTCTGGGTCCTCCGGTTTGTCCTCTTCCACATTTTAGAATCAAAATGTGTTTAGAGTTTTGGGCTGCTGTAAATTTCCACGTAAGCCACTTTAGTCGAGCTGTCATGTGTGGGCCAGGTCGCTTCTGAAAAAGAGCTAAATCGCTCAGTAAGCTTTAGCTGGTAAAATAAAGAAAAACAAAATAGTTTGGTTTAAGTGCGATAGCCACCACCGCCCCAGCTATCTGGACCGCACATTTGAAAGGTGTCACATTTTGTGCAGGGGTTGGGTGACCGATTTGAACTTTTCCTTTGGCGTCACAGACATTGTTTTTTTGGCAAGGCGAGATATAAATAAAAAGGGAGCTTGTTGATGATGTTTTCGCTGTAACCAGGACTGGCAGTTTGACGACGGCGCCCCACCCCCTGGAAAAGTGGTCGACGATTGGCTGAGCCTTCTCAAGACCAAGTTTCGCGAGGACCCGGGTTCGTGTGTCGCCGTCCACTGCGTCGCTGGTTTGGGCAGGTAAGCATTTCTTACAAAGGGATTACGACAAATAGCTCAGGAACGGCATACGTAAAACACGTGTATAAAATGACAAATTTTTGCATCTTGCAGATACACAGCAGCTCATGCTCTCATTAGATACTGTGTACAAAGACAAAAGATTTTCCCCAGTATAGCCTGCAACAGACTGTTAGAGGGCAAGTGCTGGGGGTGGGTGGCCAGCACCACACCCGACCGCCTTTGTCCCCCCAGTGGCGATGTTTACACACCGCTCCAGTCAACCTAGGGGAGTCCCAAAACCGGTTCGGATAATCACTGGTGTTGGCCGTCAGTGGGAATCGAACTGGGGTTCGAAGCGCAGCGCGTAAAACCGCTACACCACCGCTCCCACACACGTGCACGTGTACATAAATACGTACATGCGTGCATACAAGCACAGGTCGTGACATTTCGCAGATGGGATTCTTATTGTCCGAATTTCACAGATAAAGACCGACCCCAAATGTATTCATGCACACAAGTTACCCATAAAGAGGGAAATCCTATTGTCTGCATTTATCTCCAGATGCTTACCCAGAAGTTCTCTACTGGAAGTGCGAATGTTATCCTATTATCCTTGTTTTGGTGGCTAAGAGGCGTAACCCAAAATGAGTAAACATTCATTGTATTATTCATGCTTATCGACTGGTAACCATGAAGATTTCAAGAGTTATCTTGCTGATAACAAAAAGTTATTTTGGGAATGGGTGTCGATACTGGAATCCACCAACCCCCCCCCACCCCACATTCAGACAGTTAAATAAAATACAGTAAAGTATTTGCATTCAGCGCAAGCGAAAACCTCAAGAAGCAGGCTTTCATGACATTGGGTTCAAAAACCTGAAAATCCTCTCCCCCCCCCGCCCCCCCCAATTGCTGGTATGTGAAAATTTAAATTTTTGTGTTTGGATTATACCATCTTGTGTTTAACCTGGATGCAGTGCCTCTCAAAGCCATCCACATGCGAAAGTTCAAAAGTTTGGGTTCAACAATAATACATTTCACGAGACCCAGAAATCTTACATTGACTTTCATATTTTATCATTTCAAGCGGAGCCTCGACTACATTTCTGCCAAATTTAAGCTTTTATACCTAGAAAACCGCAAGCATTTACACCACTCGGTCACCAAAGACCAACTACATACCATACAATATATTACTGAACTATGCATTACTGAACTATGCAAGCGTTCCCAACAACTGTGTTGAGGTTATGCAAATGACACCGACATAACAAAAACAATTCTACAAAAAAACTGTGCACATGTACAGGCATCGCTTGGTACCAATAAGGCGGCAGCCCTATTTGCCCATGCTTCGTTCCAGTTTCACATCTTCCGTAATGGCGTGGTTAATTCGCACAGGTTTTTCACATCACCAAAAAACAAGGCGACGCACGTGACACACACACAAATAAACTAAATCACGAGTACAAGCATTCGTACAAAAGTCGTCGCTTGAAAATTGTCCCCATCGACAGCAGAACTGTTTTCCTCCACCTTCCCCAAGTGCCACGTGCTAAACAAGGCCACTTCACCGCAGTGCCTTTGATCAGCGCTTGGGTTTTTTTTGTTCCAGCGTTATCAGCCGTCCCCATTAAGGGATTATTAAAAAGGCAGTGTCCGGGGTGAGTCGAGGTAGGCCTTTCCACACGGATTACTCGGGGTTCGCTGGCCTTGTGTAAACCAGTCCACGATTCAATTGAGAAGCCCAAAAAACTAAAATTAGATCTCTCTAAATGGAATGGACGAGAAAGGGGTAGGGTGATGTTACATAAATCACGATGTCCTGGCTGTCACCTCCATCTGTCGCAAATGCCGCGTGGTTTTCCGTGATTCGAGGAAGGAAGAGGACAGACGCTGCAATCAGGGCCTCTACAGTCTTTGTGGAGGATTGGTGGCACAATAATCTGCACTCTGCACCATGAACCTAGCAACCCGAGTTTGATTCTTAACCAAAAGATCAAAAACACACAAAAACATTGTGGGCCGAAATAAAAAAAAAATCGGTTTGATTTAACGATTTCATTTGATATTGCCACCATTTAAAATATCCAAATATGAAAACTTCCATAGGCCCAGGTTTAAGAACAAAAACATGCAACATTTTTGTAATTAATTATGGCAGATCCAAATTTACACAATTATCGTTTTTAGGATTTTGTTGGCCATAGGCTTATGTTTGCACCATATTTCCGATTTCTAGCCATTCTAGATCATTTTAATTTACATACGTCACAGCCATGAACATTTATAGATACAGTATTAGATCTGAACATTCCTTAAATGTCACCAAAATACTACAGCGGAGTAGTGGCAAAGTGATTCCTGCATTCTGCTGCCAACCCAGCGAGTTTCAATTTAATTCTTTGGTCATGGCTAACATCAGTGGCGAGTGATATCTGAACCGATCCTGGACCCTTCACTAACCCGCAAATGACCAGCACAGTAAAGTGTGGTAAAAAAAAATAATCCCCCAAGGCCAACAGAGCAGTGAATTGAGAAGGGCCGAATTTTGTATTTTTTACAACCATTTAGTATTAGTGTCGCTGTGTCGGTACAGTAATACCACGTGCACAAAACTAGGCGCCACATATTTTGCTGCTAAACCAACCTTTATCGAGCACAGATTTATTTATTTTTAAATGACTTCAGATGCAAAGAGAGCTGTTGCTGCACTCAATTCATCGACGCATAACCTGCCTTTATTCCGATTGGCTGTGGTCGTGCCACAAGTCTTCCCTTGTGTTTGCCCACATCACAGCCTAATACCAGGTCTCCTACAGCTACGTTTGAACCCACAAAGTAGCACTGTGTTCCCATAGCTTAATTAAGAAAGCCCCATCAATGCTTGCAAGGACTTGTGCCAACTTTAATGTGGGTGGGTGAAAGGCACACACATAAACATGTGTACACGCATACCTCTGGTTTAAACGCAGCCGAATTCCATTTTATTTACACACTATCATATAGTTGCTCTATCTCTCCTTGGATTGTCCCTGTCTAAACACATTACTTCCATTGGCTGCCGTTAAAATTTGCAGTCCCGACTAGCGACTTGCCCTACCCAAGTCGGATCCCCTTTTTTTGCGAATGCGATATCCGACATTCGCGTCGCCACTCTAATTAGAGTATCCAGACTACACTCATCTCGGGAGTTATTTCAAGGGTTGCAAGGAAATAGGATAACGCTTCATCCGCTCCACTCCATAACACCCCCTCCTACGCCAACCCTCACTTGAACCAGACCCCGTCTAACTCAACTCTACTCCCCCCCACCTCCCCCCAATGAAGGGCCAAACTATTTCACAATGGCCAAGCAGCATTGAGAGGCCTCCAACCTCTGAAGGGGCAGCAACACCCCAATCTAGGGGCCAGGTGACCTTAAACCCTCAAGAGAATGGACTCCTCCCCCCCAACTGGTGTAAAGTGAAGGAGTACTCTGTTTTGCATTGCACACCGGAGCACGGTAAATACTACAGGTGTTGTCAATCCACGTGGGACTCTGGTGTAGTGGTGCCCGATTATTTTTCCAGGGATCGTGCACAACTCGGCTTCCACAATAACGGCATGGGTTGGTGTCTGTGAGTCAGGAGGCAATGATGAAGACAATCAGATTATTATGCTCACAATACCATGCATGGAATTGTGGGTGTACGAATCGCTCATTTTTGTTTCACGTACGGCAACGTCACGTGTTAGAGAATGGAAGCTACTCTCGATTTTTGGTAACAAGCTTCAAGGGCAATGAATAGACTCTTGAATTAACTCATAATCAGTTAATTATTACCAGCCTGTCGACGATTTCACGATTTGTCTAGTCATTACAATACCAGCTTGTGATTACAAAAATCAAGTAACCTAGGTCTTGTTTGATACCACATTTTTTTCTATTGTCCATCTTGCATGTCCCCAGTCATTGTCAGTCTTCTTCGTTTCATTAGCCTCGAGGTATATCAATCTACATATGAACCTTATGGCAGGACCCCAGGTCCCATAAGCCACCGGCTCTCGCATAAACTGCATTGCAACGTCATTTTATGTCCGTTGAAGACGAACGACATGGCAATCTATTCCTCTCGACGAGCTCTACACGATGCGCTAATCAAAGTTTTAAAGTTGTGTTTCTTCTGCGTATTCGTCCTCACTGTGCTTGGACGACACGACAACAGAATGATCCGCACACTTTGGTTTTTTCGGTAAAGTCACAGTTAAAAAAAAATGAAAACTAAATTAAATCACGACGTTTCTGACGCAACACAAGCGTCCTTCAGGTGGGAGCAACGTAGCGAAAGCACAAACGCTTAAGTTTGGACACACACAAGCGTCCTTCACCTGATGAAGGACGCTTGTGTTGCGCCCGAAACGTCGTGATTTAATTTAGGTTTTTTTTTACCTACGTGACTTTACCGAAAAAAACCAAAGAGTACGAATCCTTGCAGCCACGAAAGCTTCAAATCTAGAAAGAATGATCTGCGCCAGGTGGGTCGCTGCGTTTATATGCGCGGTGGGACGGAGTCGCCAAAAATGTATCGATTAATTGCGATTTCTACTTCCGTTTATTCGGGACCCCGGGTTCCCGCCATGAGGCTCATGCCTAGCGCACAGACGCACAACCTGTTGCACGCGCCTTCGCAGTCGTAATCACCGCGTGCCTAATGGACACGTGGCACACACCGTAACTCGAGTTCCGATTTCAGAAGAATGGCAAAGACCTGCGGTTCTCAATCCGTGGGGCGCACTCCCCCCCCCCCCCTCACAGGCTGCAGCATGGACACCGTGCAGGAGATATTCTGATCGTCGGCGGGGGAATGTCAAGCAGCAGCACATTGCAAAACACACCAATACACACAATGGCACGCATGCCTAACCAGTACCGCATTGAATTGAGGCAATAGCATATCAATTATGGTTTCGTGTTACCTTATAAATGTGGGGGGAGGGGGTGGGGGAGTATAGGGAGGGGAACCACACGGACCAGTGGTCTTGATTGGAGGCGAGATGGGGATGGCACGCAAATTCAAAGGAAGTCGAGAACCACTGGTACAGACCATTGCACTCCGAATACGCCATTGGAAAACAGACTCCGTTGTAATTCTGGCATGGCTGCTCTTAAACCTGGCACCCGAGACTTCGCCAATTAATCAATGCAGAATCTCTATAGCAGGTAAATAAGCAGTCCATCGGCTCGCGGGCGAGGGAGCGTTGCGATTGAGCCGTGGATACGGCGCGAGGGAGGTGCCGGGAAATCTGTGCGCTCGGATCAATCGGACAAAAGGAAACAAAACCCTGCCCTTGAAGAATTAACATCCATTTGGCGCAACGCTCGCTCATGGCTCGGTCTTACTTCCCTCGTCCGAGCGTCTGCAAAGTGCTTTTTGGAAAAATAATAATAGGTTTTACCATTTTCTTGCAATACAACAGGAGGTGTTAAGATGTTCAAACACCAAATAGAAACCTTTTGCAAGGAATTAAGTTCGCATTAACCACACACAGTGCTACTTGTGGTGAACGTGCAGGCAAACACGCTCTGATAATGTATGCGTCGTCCATGAAACCGATTGGGCCGACACCGGACCACTTCTTCATGGCCTAGTCTCACCAGTATCAGACCAGGGAACGCCAAAAGGCGACCAGTGCAAAGGACAATGCCACACGAATCAGAGCACTTATAGCTCGGGGTGAATGAAGCCAGCTATATCAGGGGAGACCTTTCATACTTAGATACTGGCAAAACAGGTACCATGATCAAGTGTTTTTTTTTATTGCAAACTCCTAATGCAAAACTACATCCACCCACAAATCGCCACTACATCCCTCTGCCTTAACGCCTCCGATTAGCACAGTTGGCTACGTACGGTGCGAAAAGACGTTTAACACGTCCATACCACAAACTGGTTTTGAATGACACTCTCATTATAACTTGAAATATGCATTTCCACTCGGCTGGTGACGTGACGGGCTTTGCCGTGTTCACTCAGGGCTCCGGTGTTGGTGGCGTTGGCGCTGATCGAGAGTGGGATGACGTACGAAGACGCGGTACAGTTCATCAGGCAGTAAGTCCTCGCATCACAAAGCAATATTCGTGGCTTGCTCCTCAAAAATGGCATTATTCTCTTCCCGGCCCTCAATCAGGCGGCCTCAATCAATCGTGCAAGAGGACGCCCCATGTAAAAACGAGTCCAGTAAACAATTAGAGATGTCGGGCAACTGTGAAATAGGATTCCTATGGCAGTGATGGGATGTGGAAAGATTCAAATAAAGGGGCCGTCCATTAATGACGTCACGCACCTAGTGGGAGGGGGAGGGGTCAGACATTTGTGACGATGTTGGGGGGGGGGGGGGAGAAATGTGACGTCACATCAAAATGCGCAACTTTAAATAAATATAGACACGTTCTACTTAATTACATAGACTTTTTAATAAATGTTTTCTCCACATCAGAGTGCAGCGCCACATTAAATACGCACTACAATGACAATAGTTTAAAGCGATTTGACGCATGTTTTATATATTTTTGTGGGGGGGGGCAGAGCTTTGTGACGTCATATTTGAGGGGGGGGTCTGACTTTTTGTGATGCCGTGTGACGAGGGGGGGGGGGGTCAAAAATCGTCCAAAATCGCGTGACGTCATTTATGGACGGCCCCTAATGAAATGAAGGTGGTGGATGAGAGCAGGTTGGGCGTGTTCTTTTTCTTTTTCAAAGCTGATGTGAAAGCAGCATGCCAGTGTGTAAACAAGGTCTGTGTATATTACCCCGCTAAAACATGGCGATAAAGAAATGTGGGACGGTAATGACGAAAACAAAATGGATAACAGGTTCAAAAAGGGTGCGCTAGGAATGATTGGCGAGATGCACGCTTGGATTTGCGCCGATAGATAAAAATGAGGAACACATGGATCTGAGAATATATAGGAGTCAAAAAAATTTGGGGGGGGGGTTTGGGTAAGGCGCATCTCTAAAACAAACGGTTTGATTCCTGGTGGGGCCAAGAAACACAATGGAATGGGAGGGAAAGAACCCCCTCTTGGGATCACGTCCGCTGTGGAGATGGAGCGATAGACAATTCTCGTCCGCAGGTGCGAGGTGAATTGTGACATCGTAGGTACCTTGGAGAGCAATGGTCACACAGCTTGAGAAGGCCCTAATTTTAGCAATTAAATTACGTTTGGACTGCATTGCCGTTATGTTATTTTGTCATTCCGCTCACGACCGAGGCCGAGTTAATCACCCCCGCCGGTGTGGAGGCATTCGTCTCTCGCGTCGAAGTTTGGTGTCCGAGCGCTCCAACACTGCCCCCTCGTGGCAGTGTTGGAGCGCTCTCCACTGGCGGCTCTGCGGCAGTCGTGGAAATTCCACATTCGCCGTGGTCGGGAGCAGTAATTCCGTAGGGCAGTCGATCATCATTTGACTACGCACAGGAGGTGGTGTTAAGCCATGTGTGGCAACCCATGCCTTCGATTCATCGGACTCTTTGGTGGCTTTCGGTAAAGTCACGTGACTCTTTGGTGGCTTTCGGTAAAGTCACGTGACTCCTTGGTTCTTTCGGTAAAGTCACGTGACTCTGCCGAAAGAACCCAAGACTATTGATTCCTGCAGTCACGAAAACAACTTCAAATCAAGATCGATTCATTACGTTGGCAGTGACGGTGGACAAGGGGACAGGTGCAAATGCGTTTAAATTGCAACCCACCGAGCTGCAAGGTGGCCAGAACATAAGAGTATGAGCAAGTGAACCGAACACGTCTGTCCAGAGGTTTGACCGATATCCCCCCCCCCCCCCGCCATGTGCGAGTTTTCTCCGGGCGCTCTGGTTTCCTCCAACACGTGCCACCTCATTTCAGAATGAAATTGGCCAAAATATTACCCTGCAGGACCCCCCCCCCCCGCCCCTCCTGAAAATAAGTTAAGAATATGTAAGACTGTGCCAGGATTAAAACAAAGATGTACTTTTTTTTCATAAGACCAAAATGGAGCTTCTCATTGGCTTGGGAGTAAATGCATAAATAAAAAAATGTTGAACTTGAACTTATTTCGCACCATGCGTAGCCAACCTTGCTAAATCGGAGCTGATGATTGCCCTCTGGTTACTGCCCTCTGGTTACTGCCCCTACAGAAAGCGACGAGGGGCTATTAACAGCAAGCAGCTGCTGTACCTGGAGAAATACCGGCCCAAGATGCGACTGCGTTTCAAGGATTCTAACGGCCACAAGAACAGCTGCTGCGTCCAATAAAGAAAACAACAAAAACGAAATGTAAAAACGGACACTTGGGGAAGTGCAGAAAAAGCGAAGACACTCAACCCAAGTTCAGCGGGAGAATCAATTCAAGAAAGGCTGGAAGAGGAGACGCGGGCGCCCTGCCACTACTTCAGTTACGGTTGGCGCAGAGGGCAAGCTGTCAACCGGGAAGGAGATATGAAATGTGGACCTTGAACAACAACCAGCATTGATTATGCAATCAACAAGTTAACCTGAAAAAAAGTTATTGCCCTCCAGAAAATGAATCCATTAAAATTTGACAAAACCCATAGTACCGGTGTAATACCACGAGCAGTTGCTTCAAGCAGTGTTTGTTGTGAATGTCGAATTGTGGAATATGAATGAACGGAGGAAGGAGGTGCATGCTGTCGTCTGCGGGTGGTCACACCGTGTGCGGCAGCTGAAGTGGAAACACTTGACGAAAAGATTCGCCTGCCCACTCCATCAGCTTCAAGGTTCTCTGCAAAAACGCTACAATCGAGAGCCCCCCCTCCACAACTAACATCACAAGGATTCTCAAAACACGTTACTTCACTTCTGTACTGAAAATGTTGTTGATCAATCAACAAAAACAAGATAAAATCAGCAGCCAGTCGACGAATTCCAAGTAAAACGCATTTCAAAGCTGTATTCTCTCCATCGTTTTGCTGGAAACTGAAAAGAACTCTTAAATTTCTACACCAAAATGTAAAAGAAAGGAGCCATTTTTTTAAGAAAGACTGCCACTGCTTTCTTGTCGATGCAATCCGCAGAAAAAAACATTTGTATTTCAATACCGTTCTGAAATATCAAAACATTTCAGATGTTCTTGCATAAAACAATTAAAAGGCCCATAAACCTTGTAATATTTTTTGATAATGTAATTGAGATGTGAAGGAACAGGTATGTGAATAAAAACTGTTATTTTAACTGTTTGATATCAGACTATGAAATGATATACATGTAGTGACGTTGCCTAATACTGTAAATCTGCACTTTTTACGTATGTATTTTTAAAAGCTCAGATTGTTTGAAAGACTGACTCAGCTATTCAAAATAAAACCACACACACACACTTTGTGCCTTCCATGACGAGATCATGTAAACAGCATTGCAATGCAATTTAAGAGCGAGACTGCAAGGGGGCGCGGTTCAGTCTGTGGGCTCAAGCTACTCGGGTCAAGAGGTTGCGAACATTTGGTCACTGTGCGAGTTTTTAAAATTTTCAAAAAGAACTGGGACAGCAAAAATGGCAATAGAAACCCGTGGGTGGAATTCGGATTAAATTATTTGTCCATGTGCTACTGTATCAAAGGCATGATCGGTGCTCAGTCTGGAGTTTGCAGGTTAAACAAATTATCCAGGTGATACTGCGTTGGCAGTGGTCCACCGACTTTGCTCATTAACGCCACCTAAAAACAAGTACAGAATAGGAGGCGTTTCGGCACATGTGCTATGAAGAAGGCCCATTGCCCAAATCGTCACCTATGATATACTTTAACTTTTAAGGCCATGGTGTTAAGACTAATGTGTTAAGTTTTTTTTTTGGTATTTCACTGGGTAGACCTCAAATGGTCCATTTGAAATGCTTATCGCAATTTAAATTTCTAAACGCAATAACATATGTACGTTAAACCATAAGTGAGCATTAAAAAGAAATGCATTGTCACATATTTAATAGGTGGCTACCCTAACATACAGAAGGTGTGGTGTCATAATATAACTGATAAATACAGTTTGTTTTAAACAATGTAATATCTTTCAGCCCTTCGCTAATCCACTGCTGAGGAAAGGACTCGGCATGCTGAATGAGTTATGCGACTTATCTGATCGTATTTCACCATGCTGGTACTTGACAAGACTGAATTTTTAAAAAAGCAAATCTGCATGTTTTATTCATTAGGCATCCCCTAAAAAGTAGCCAATGCGATCTTGTGACTTATGGTGCTCACAAGATGCACCAGTCAAAGTTTGGAGCGGTAGGCAAAAGGTGGCTCCGGTCTTTTACTGGACTTGAACCCCCAGCCAAAGCTAAGGACTCACAAACACAGAGGCCACATCATCCCGAGACCGGAGTTTGAGGCCAGAGCACCCACCAAATTACACAATCCGCTTCTCCGGTATCAGCATGGTCACTGAAGTACTCAAAAACAAAACAAACAGAAACGTATAAAAGAAACAAGTTATAAGCCATAATTGTCAGCCAATGGACATATTGCAAATACATTGTCAATGTATTTCAATAATATATTTGGCACACACACTCTCTCCTGCAAGGCATGCAGCAGTCTCGTGGTATGGGCAAGGCAAGTGTTTAAACCGTTGATTAAGCGGACGCCAGTGTGATATTACTCTCGGCCCTTCAGTCAACGAGACTTGCGACTGCCGTCAAGGAGATACAAACTGAAATAGACTTTGTGCCTACATGCGGAAAGCACGGTTTGAATGTCAACGAGGTTTAGAAAAAAAACAGTCAAACAAGTATCTTCACATGCCACCTCCAGCACACACACACACACACACGTGTGCATGCTCGCAAGCCTTTGGGCTAGTCTGGCTGGTGGCTCCCCTTTGCACTGCAGGACTCTGTACAGATATACCCCCGCCTCAAGCTACCTAGCAGTGCAGAGGTCACTTAACCAGAAAAAAAAAAGTCCCCGTAGCAAGGGCATCTGTAAATACTAAAAAAACACTCCTGTCTGACACGAGCATTTGGCTATCAATGACCGAACTTTGAAGGGCACAAGCAGATGGTGTAAACGGAGCGTTGTGGGAATCACAGACAAGACATTTCCTCCGCTTGCCTTCAAATTTCTGCCCTTGATAAATGAAAAAGAAAGCGTGTAACCGATCAATCGATTTAATATTGACTCTTGCGCTCAGGATACACACGTAGAATTTGTGCGAGTGGGAATCGATTACTCTGCTATATTTATTATGTGTATGCATAAAAAAGTGAGTGATGGAGCAAAGGCGATTGTACAAAATGGGACAGGTGGAATGCAGAAAGAATGCTAAAGGAGATGGAAAGAGACAAAATGGAGAAAGTTATTCTCGAATGTTACGACGACCTTGATTCGTGACAATTCATCGAATGGGGGGGGGGGGGGGGGTGAATCGTTCAAGCGTGTCGTGAAATAAGACGTCCAGTGCTTACAGGGTCAAATCGGTCTTGTGAGTTGCACGCAATAATGGGGGGGGGGGGGCCTCAATAAAGTCGAAGCTTGTGTCAAGGCTTGTGTGTACACACGCAGTGCATTCTGTCTTTTCTGTGAGAGGCCACGTCGGGTCAGAGATACTTTTTTTAAAGTTAAGAAAAAAACGCTCAACTTGCAGCAATCATTTGACGGAAGCTCCGTTAAGCACCAACTAACACACACACACGTATGTATGTATGTAGAACCGTACATATGCAACCGTGCTAATCGGAGGTGCGGGGGAAGGACAACAAACTCCTTATCAGCCCCGTTCGAGACTAAATATATATAGGTTCAATGTCGCAGCACGGTAAAAAAAAAACTCCAGCCAATCGTAGGCCAGTTGCCTTCATTAAAAGCGGTGCACGCGGTTGATCGCAGCCGAGCCAAGTTAGTCTGCACTGGTATTTCGAACACAATATATGGCACGCGGAACAATGGTGCCTCGTTAAATAATCGTCGGGAGAAGAGGAAATGACCAGGATGTCGCTGGTGAATAGCGGCGAGTTTGGCAGATCAGCTGGGCTACCAATTGCGATGCAAGTTCAATTCCCGGTCAACCGAGATGAAACTTCTTAATGGCCTCTATTGTCCCTGGGACGGTACAGATTTGTTTGTTAACATGCTATCTAGATTACTGCTGTACAATTATTAACATTTTAAACACCCGTTAGGATGTATTCGTCTATGTGTTATACGTATTTATTAATAGCAGGTACCGTAAAAATAGTATTTATTAGCCGCCTAAAGGGATAACATGGCCAAACATTTTTGGGCAACTCGCCTTCACCGATACAAAATTAACCTCATTTGTTCAGCCAGCAGAGCGTCAGTGAATCTCAACCTTTTTAGGAGGGTTCTACATTGGGATGTTTGACCGAATCCACTGATGAGTGTTCAAGTGGGAGAAACGACAATGATTGTAGAGAAAACCAGTGCACTTGAAGGGTTAACGGAACTCCACACAGATAGATTCAATAATCCATTGCTGTACTACCATCTAAAAATGGGCAACTCTACAACTCACAACTCAGAGAAAACCACACTTTTAATATAAAACAAGCCATGCCAATCCAAAAAAAACCGATTATGGAAGCCATGCCCATGATTATATACAGTACATTAAAATATAATCGCCTCCTATGCACGAAACAAAGCCAAGCACGATAGTACACAAGCTTCCGATCAAGCACTTCGGGAGGCACGGGTTGATGGATCACACAGACTTGGTGAAAATACCAACGTTGGACTATGGAGAGAGAGACGGGAGATGGCAGGGCATCAAAGAGAAACGTGAATCGTCTGGGCGACGCGTAGGGTGGTTTTCTCCCACGTAAGCATAAGATTTGCATTGTGCATTTCCGACCCCATGCAAGACTAAGTGAATGTAATTGTTAAAAAAAAAGTCCTGAATTTCATTGAGATTTTTCTGGCTTAATCTCCATATATATAAAAAAAAGGCAAAGTTGTGAATGTGTATCTGTTCAAAATGTTTAGCGTACTTCCCGACATGCAACAAACGGGAAATATGCCATCTGGGTACTTTACAGACTGTACACCATGCAAAAATTAAAAAAATACACTTTTTTGGGGGGGGGGGTGGGGGGAGCTCAATAATGTATATATTTTTTTGCACAGCAAGTGAGCTGTGACGTCAAATCTGTCACGTGACCCGCGCATGTGGAGGCGTAACGCATTGTAGTGTAGTGGTTAGCGCGCTGCGCTACGAACCCGGCGACCCGAGTTCGAATCCCGCTCACGGCCACCACCGGTGACGATTATTTTTACCGGTCCTGGGCCTCCCCTAGGTCGACTCAGCATCAAACGAGTAACTGCTCTGCTATGTGAAGATCGCCACTGGGGAGACAAAGGCGGCCGGGCGTGGTGAATCCAAGTCCCGGGCGAAGCCGGATATTAAAGGTAGTAAAGGATAAAAAATAAAACAGTTGATTTTGGATATCGACACTGATAGCATTGCTGTGGAAACATTCCCATTGTAGGGGTAGGGGGGCGGGGGACACGTGAGATGATTTGTCTGTATCGGTGGAGACTTTATTAGGCGGCTAATAAATACAAATGTTATGTTACCTGCCGTTTCGAAACGTGTATAAACATATCGACGGTTAAATCTAAGCAGTGGTTGAATGCTAAGAATTGTAACAACAGAAGTCTAAAATAGCATAATTGGAAACTCCTTTGCCAGTAGCAAAATATGCTCATTGTTTCCCCCCCCCCCCCCCCCCCCCCCCCAAGGACAGTGCAAACATTATCCTTGTAAAAAAAGATTTCAGTTTTGTTGCCCGATTAAAAAAAGGGTAAAAATTTAATTATCTAAATAGCATGTTAAAAAAAAAACTGTACCGTCCATTGAGATGAGCAGAATAATTAAAGCAATCAGCACACTGCTTAATTATTAACCAAACAAACAATGTGAATTTGAATACCGACCCGAAGCACGCACATTATGCAACAGTACAATGCGATGGTACAAACAAATCATTCAAATATGTTTATTCTCCTGAGGACTTGTTTTTGCCCAGGCTGCATTGTACTTACAACCGCTCCGTGTGTCATGATCGCGAGTTTTCCCAAAATTAGGCGTGGAGGGACTTTGTTTTTGTGATTAATTATTACTTTGTATTCAATGCGTGGAAATACTTTGTCTTTTTTTGATTGTGTGTTTTGCTGTGGGGTGGGGTCCGATGTTTTTTCTCATCCTTCTGAAGCAACTAAATAAAAATGAGAGTTTATAAATACACACACGAAGACAAAGATCCCCCGTTTAGCCTTCACGGGTTGTTGGGGCAAGTGCTGTTAGCGATCACTTAATGAAAGCTGGCACGGTACAGAAATCTGAATATTTATTTATACTGGAGGAATCCGATTAGCTGCTATAAAGCTCTTTTTCACAAATGTCTAGTAGGGGCAGAACGTGACAACAAGGGGAGCACGCTGGACCAGTTTTGCCTCCCTAGCGGTGATGTTCACGCACCGCACCAGGTACCGATTTGGGATCGAGCCGACCGAGGCGAGGCCCAGGCCCGGTTGAGATCATGGGCACTTGGTGTTGGCCTATACGGGTGATCAAAGACAAAGATCACCCGTATAGCTTTAACAGACAGATGGGGCAAGTGCTGTTAGCGAGCACCTATGAAGGCCGGCACAGCACACGAGGGGGTGGGTGGGCCAGCACCACGCCTGACCGCCTTTGTCTCCCCAGTGGCGATGTTTAAACACCGCACCAGGTACTCATTTGAGGCCGAGTCAACCTACGGGAGGAGACCCAAGACCGGTTCAGAAAATCGTCACTGGAGTGTTGGCCGTGAGCGGGCAACGAACTCGGATCGCCGGGTTCGTAGCGCATTGTGCTAACCGCTACACTACCGCTCCCCGCATATATATCACACACACATATACCCCTGTTTGATAACATCCAGTCAGAAATGGTGGCGCGCGTCTGTGATCTAGTACTCTAGGAGGCAAGGGTTGGTGGATTACAACGAAAATTGTGAAGCTGCCGCATCAACCGGGACGGAATGTGGCCCAGCAGATGTCAATACATCACACCGATGTGAGTGGACCTTTGGGAGAGATATCCCCTGGGTTTTCTCTGGGTACCCGGGCTTCCTCTCACTTGCCACTCATTAAATGGTATTGGCATCCAAAATGTAAAAGGCGTGTCTGAAAAAAAGGTGTCTCGGGACGGGGTGAATATTTCCCTGGATAAACAAAGGGCATTGTTCATATAACAAAATATACCATACACATTAATAGATCAGAATCAGTCAGTCATGTTCGTCATGTAAACATTTAAGCGGATGCATTTTACACAGGAAACCTGAATGCATCGGCCATGTCAAACTATAAAAAAACACACTACATCCGTGGGTGCATTGATGATCATGTACTCTTTACACCGGAATGCCTCGTTGAGTCTCAAGAATAATTTTCTCGAGTTTCTGGCCTTGCATTGTTTCC